AAAAGGCAAACATTTTGCTCTCTAATTTATTATGGAAAAGGTTGCTTGACTGTGTCACACACACACACAAATATACTTGGCAACATTTCAGTTTGACTCGCTTTATTTGGGGAATGGCTCTTATTATATTGTTTGGGGTATAGTTCCCACTCTGGAGCCTTCACATTGGAACCTTGGCTTGCACTGCATTTCTGGCAATGGCAAATGCATTGTTAATCCCCATAACTAATAGCATTTCTGCTCGTCTCATGTCGCTTTTGGCAGCAGGCTTTTTAAAGTCCTAGTCTTTATGATAGACTCAAGGCATCAGATGTGTTTATACTACCCTGAGCCTGTGCTGCATTATAAAATGAGCACCAGCATCTTCTGGCATGTCCATTGCACTAAGCAGGTATACTTCACAACAGGACACTAGATAAAAATGTTTGGCACTGCAACACAAGTGAATTGCTCGATGTGCTGTTAACGGGGGGGGAAAATATTTCTGAAAGGTTATTATTCTAAAAGATGAGCTACAGTTTAGTATTAATTTGTTTTCATTGGTAAGTTTCATCTGTTGCTCTCCACATGGAGGAACAAGTTTTCAAAAGTTAAGACATAGGCTTAGCTCAAGTATTTGTTGTTTTAAACATGCTATAAAAGCAAATGTTACAAAAGGTGTATGTAAAATATTTTTTAAGTGATCTGGGGATTCCTTGCCCTTCATGTCCAGTAACTACTTGACCCTGCTTAGAGATTTTAGCCTATAAGTGTAGAGATAACCAAAAAGACTTTCCTGTCTTTTTCTCCTCTCTCTCTTTCTCTTCTCACAGTGACTTAATGTTCATACCAGTGAAAGAACTGAACACTCTAATTTAGAATGTTCTGAGATGGTATCTGAAGTATTCTTCACAACCTGATCAAAGGCTAATTTTACTCCTCTGTCCAGACCTCACAGATTCCCTGCAGTTATGATTGAAAAGATGCACATTTACACTTCAGTGTTACAGCTACGTGGAGTGGTCAACCTGCATCTTATTAGGCCAATGTTTGCTGCAGATAAGAAAAGATTATACCCATGACTTAAGTCAGCAAATAATTAAATAAATAAATTCCAACAAATTTGACCATACTTGTGTATAACTGAATGTGGCGGCAAACTTTTACCCTCAGATACTGGTTGTTGTTTAGTCGTTGAGTTGTGTCCAACTCTTTGTGACCCCACAGACCAGAGCACGCCAGGCTCTGTGATCTCATCTATTAGCCTTGCTATAGATTCTGAAAAGATGGAAGGGGTGAGAGAATAGATAGCGACCCATATTTTGTTGGTGCAGATGTGTGATTACACAAGGCAGAAGTCATGAACTAGAAAGAATAACCCCCTATGTGCTCTTTCCAGTCATGGAGAATTAGAGTTGCTTTATTCTAAGTTCTCTATTCTGAGTGTGCTGCACAATTTATAATCCTAGTGCTCTAGATTTATTAGGATCAGAATTACAAATAGGGGCATGCAAACAAGTTCCTTTTTTGGTTAGTAGAGACAGTGTGAGGCAGTGTGCAGTGCATTACCTGGAACACTGCATTGCAGAGTATGGCCTAGTTGCACACCACTCTAAGCCAAAATTGAATCACAGGTTATTGAACAAATGGTGTGTAAACCACAAGTCAGTGTTTCAGTTGATTGCAGCGTGGCTTGTTTGTGTGTGGGGTGAGGGTAAGTTGTTGGGTCAGGTTAGCCATATTGATTTGTATGCTGTTGAGGGGGGAATAGGTAATTGTCCTGTTGTGGTGTGTAGGTGATGAAGGGGAGCCATAAGGAGGAGAGGATTTAACCAGAAACCAGAGTTGGGGCAACATGCTAAGCCAAACCTTGATTTAGCTGCTGTGCTGGATTTAGCTAGAAAGATTTGGGAGGAGCAAAACAGCTGCAGTCTCTCTCTGGTAGCTCACACATTTGCACTAATCCATAGTTTGACTTAGCATTGCGTGCGAATGTGGCAATTTTGGGGGGGAGAGGGGTCCTTTCTAGAATAATAGAATGGCATTGTTTTCTAGGTTTGATACACACACTTATTTTTGGTGCCTGCTAAAACATTTTTGTTTAGACAAGCCTACACAGATATCTAGAATGGTGATATATTGTTTAGCTTATTGCCTAATTTTTGAACGTTTTAAAATAGTTGTTTCAATTATTTTTAAACAATAATTTTATCTTTTTATTCTCTTTGTAAACCTCTTTAAGGATTTTTTTTTTAAAAAAATCAAGCGGTATATAAATTTTACAAAATAAATATAGAACCAACAGAACTCATATTTTAGACTAGTAACTGTTGTTACTAGTCTAAAATAATTGTTAATTGTTAAATTGTTAAAATAATTGTTAAAATAATTGTTAATTGTTAAAATAATTGTTAATTGTTTGCTTAGATTCCCTTTTCTTATCTCATATCAAGTATCAAGGAGAAGTATTAAAATGTAATTATTTTGTTTTGACAACTAACTTTAAAAAACACACACCAAGATCTACGGAACCAATTTATTTTTGGCCTGCAATTCTTGGACTAGGAACTAAGACCTATTGATATCCTTGCAGTCTAAAAGTTTGTAACTGCCTCCCACAATGTGGTATCTGGCACATGTTTTGGACCTCAGCTCCCATCAGCCACAGGCAGTGTGGACATTGGTCTAGGTCAGGGGTAGGCAAACTAAGGCCTGGGGGCCGGATGCGGCCCAATCGCCTTCTCAATCCAGCCTGCTGACGGTCCGGGAATCAGCGTGTTTTTACATGAGTAGAATGTGTCCTTTTATTTAAAATGCATCTCTGGGTTATTTGTGGGGCATAGGAATTTGTTCATTCCCCCCCCCCCAAAAAAAAGTCCGGCCCACCACATGGTCTGAGGGACGGTGGACCGGCCCACAGCTGAAAAAGGTTGCTGACCCCTGGTCTAGGTCCTAGGATGATGGGGAGTTATAGTCCAACAACATCTGGAAGGCACCTTATTGGGGAAGGCTGATTTACAGGATCAGGTCCACTGTGGCTAAGCTACTGATTTAAACCAGCCTATAAATGTGTTGGTAGTGTCATTTGATTGCTGAGTGGAAATTTAAAAAGCAAGCAAGGTTGCTGTGGCCTTGAAGGTGTGACCTAATTTTCAAAACACAGAAACAGTCTTTTTCTTAAAACTCTGTGAGAGAAACTTATTGGCCTTTTGCCACACACATGGCATTTTATATGTGACATCAGTGGCGTAGCGTGGGGGGTGCAGGGGGGGCCGGCCGCACCGGGCGCAATATCTGGGGTTAGGGCAAATCCACGGGTTAGGGGGCGCAAATCCATGGGTTAGGGGGCGCAAATTACTTGCCTTGCCCCGGGTGCTGACAACCCACGCTACGCCACTGTGTGACATACACACAACTGTGGAGTTGTGATAACTGAGGAAGGCTGTAATGAGTTATGCCAACTCAGAAATATAAGAATTGAATAAGTAGGTAGAGAGTCAGGCATTCAGTTTGGACCTATAGCAGATGTAAAAATACCCCCATTAAAAATGGATAACCAGAAGCCTTACAATAGATCTTTAACCTCTGCATGATTCCCTGAGCACACAACAGAACATGTCAAACTTCCAGTGATAGTTCTTTAATAACAAATATATAGTGGGTTGGATTGAATAATACCTTTTCCTGAGCCAGTGCATACTCATGGTATCATGTGAAAATACATTTTCTTTTTTTGCCTACCCAGTCAGCCTTCCCTGCTTACGGGCATTCATGCAGGAGCATTTGAGTAGGGCCACTGTGTGTAAAAACGAGTCTGCACAATCTTGCACATGGATGATTCCTGGATTTTATCAGGGGTAGAACTATGCTTTGAGACTATTCACATAGGACTTCATGCTAATAGGTCCTAATTAAATGTTACTGTATGGATGACTGAGGACACTGGAAAAGAGTTGGATAGGGAGTGAGATGACTGTGGTGGACTGGGGTTAGGTCTGATCCTAGCCCAATTTGTATTAAGTGTTAAAAGCACTCCTTACAATTGATTTTAGTCATCAACAGTCCTAACAGACTAATGTTATACCGTATTTTTCGTCCCATAGGACGCTCCGTCCCATAGGACGCACCTAGTTTTTTGGGGGGAAATAAAGGGAAAAAAATTTCCCTTTATTTCCCCCCCAAAACCAGGTCGGGGAAACCAAACCAGGTCGGGGAACAGCGGGATGGCAGTGCTGCGCCTCCCCGCTGTCTCCCGAGCTTGTGGGGCTGGCCGATGTCTGCCCGGCGCGTGAGGCGCTCTGCTTCAGGGTACCTTGCGCGCCGGGCGGCAGGCTGCTATCCGCAGCGTGGGGAGCCCTGCGGGAACTCCCGCGGGCTCCCCAGGCTTGCTGATAGCTTCCTGAAGCCTGGAGAGCGAGAGGGGTCGGTCCCCTCTCGCTCTCCAAGCTTCAGTGAAAACCTGTATTCACCCCATAGGACACACACAGATTTCCCCTTCATTTTTGGAGGGGGAAAAGTGCGTCCTATAGGGCGAAAAATATGGTAATCCCTGTATCGTAGATGCAGGGCTAAAAGAATAGTGCCGTCCCTTAAATCATTTAGTACGTTGGGTGAGATTTGATCTGGGGACTTCCCTGCGCTAACAGCACCAGCTCCTAGGCAATTGATTGTAAATACGGACATTTACAAAGAGAAATCTTCCGCAGATAATATGCCTAGTGTCTTGGCAATATTCCACTACCGTTAAAACACAATGCAATACAATAATGCATGAATTCAAGTTAAAATGCCTGTGCCGCTCCACTGTGGAAAGGAGCATATTCTGTCTGTGTTGATGCACCTAAATCCTATGGAAAACAAAGGGTCGTAATGAAACATTAAGCTGTAGGGCTTAAGTCCGATTAATTTAGCGAGAATTATGTATTCCTCTAACTTTCTCTGGATTGCACCCATTGTACTTAGCTACTCGTAAAACTGCGTTCCTGATTGTCAAATAATTATTCCCTTTTTTCTGTTGCCAGTACTTCAGCTAAGGCTACAGCAAAGGCGGACAAGAGAACAGCTGGTGGATCAGGGAATCATGCCACGTAAGACTAATTTTATTTTTTGCAGCTTGTGCAGCACTGAATTCTCAGGCTTCTTGCTGAAGACAAAAGGAAATAACCAATAACATTTATACCCCCCCAGAAAACAAAGGGATAATCAAAATTATGTGCTTTCACTGTCTCTCTTTCTCTCTCTCTCTCTCTCTCTCTCTCTCTCTCTCTCACACACACACACACACACACACACACACACACAAATATTTCACCTTTTTGGAATTTGTCTACCATTTTTAAGTTTAGGAAAGAACTGGGGAAAATACAGATTTTTGTTTAAACCAATAATATACTTCATTGAAGTATTATGGGTTAATTATAAATTCAATGAATAATAAAATGATTTATTGTCATGTGTCTCTGTAATAGCTAATATTAGGATGTCTGTATGTCAATTTAGAATTACTGCTTCAGAAGCAACTAAAAAACCTTTATTGCTTGGAGATATGTACTGTTTCTAAAACATGATTCAGTTGGTCAGAACCCAAAGATACCTTCCACATGAGAAAGTGGCGTAACACATGTGGAAGCTACGATGGAAAACCTAATCATGTGGAACTGGGTGGGTTTTTGGTGTAAGAGGCTAGAACGAGGGGCTGGTTTTGGAAGGTTGCTGAGTGGCGGTTTGGGAAGAGGTGGCCCAAGGCAAGAGTCTGGGTTGCACTTTTTAGTAGACTGCTTGGGTCTGTTTCCACTGCACTTTCAATAAACCTTAAAGATATGAGCCTCTTAGGGTGTGTAGGAAATGGGCTTTTTGTGTGCATTTTTAGAAACACCATATGCACTTTGTTTGCTGCTAATTGTTTTATTTTAGCTTTGCTGTCTTGTGATAAATTTCGAGAGTGCTTGCTTTCCATGGAGTTTGTTCCTATTTATGTCCTCTTCTAAACTTTTCCTTCATTTGTGTGTTTGTGAGTTGGATAGCTTATGTGTTTGGGTGGAGGAAGAGGTGGGTGAGGCGGGGGGAAAGAGATGCCCCAATCCGGACATTCAGTGGCAAAGTGGCAAGGTGGATGAAGAGAAGATAATAGCAAGCAGTTAATTGTGGTCTGTGACCTTTTCTGTTCTACCAACCTGTCCTCCAGGCTGGTAGTGCTGTTGCTGTATGCCAGGTTGGTGATTGCCATTCCTTATTTACAATTTGATTTTGGGTGAAGGAGCTGACTTGGCATGCAGTACCATGATGTGAGTGTCTGTGCTAGGTGAGACAGATTTCACTCAGTTTGTCCCCATGGTACTTGGTACAATATCAGTGTAGGCTGGGTGGATGATGCTTTGAGTGCAAGTGACATAAGTCTCATAACCAAGACAACTGATGATAAAGGCATGTAATCTAGCCCACCCTGTGCTGTTGGTGATAGCAGCAAAGAAAGCTGACTTCTGCCACCATTTCATCCTCCAGTACTCATCCAGCAGAGTTTTTCTGTGATGAATGAGTTAAGATCTTGCCCTGTGGAAATGGCTTGGAACCCTCAGAAGCCTGCTATGACAAGTTTGCAAGGCATTTTGAGAGCAAAGTTATTTGATGCCATTGTTAATACAGCTCTAGAGGAGGTGTTTAGATCCCCCTCAAGCCTGGATGTTTGGTATCAGTTTCAGATATCAGGGCCTGATGATGCAAAACAAGATGCTTGAGGATACTTGAAGATGTCTATCACATGCAGGTCTAACCCTTGTCCAACTTGGATTGTTAGAGCTAGCTGGGGTTTTGAATGAGCGAGCCCAGAGGGTATTTAATTCTTCATTGCAGGAGTAGGTAATGCCTTCTGCATTAGAGGTGGCAGTAGTGCACCCTCTCCTCAAGAGATCTGCCTGGATTCTAGAGGTTTGCTCAAGTACCATCCAGTTACAAAGATTCCCCTTTCGACAAGATGCTTGAGAAGGTGGTGGCTGCTCAACTTCATATGCATGTGGAGGAAGCAGGCCAAATTATGTTGTTTGGGAACTCCTGAGTACAACCAATCCCTGGCAAAAGTGAGGTTGCCAGTCAGCTAATCAGTGCTAACTGGGAGTCCTTTTTGGCAGGGATGGGGAAAGAGTAATACAAGCGAAGGGGGAGAATAATGAGAGTGCATGAACATTATTTTTGTTGATGTAAGGCAGACACCTGAACCAACTTATTACTCTCCGTACACATATATTTGGTTTCTGTTTGCCGTTTCTACACAATTATCACCTCTTGCTCTAATACGTACCGGTATATAGAGGGAAATTAATCCAAGCACCTCATTTTTCTGCTCATGGTCTTTTAGAACCCAGTCAATATTAATGATTATCATTGAACTTATTGGTCGATGTAGGTTTTATTATTACTAACAAAAGGCCCGTCATTATGACAGGTGGGGGAGGGCAACAAAGAGGAGGCCATATACTGTGGATAGAGTACATTCAATGTTAGTTAGTAGAAACAAATATCAAGGAGTATAAAGTATCTGTCTTTACCAGTATGTTCCGATAGTTTCATGTCAGTCTTTTACTTCTCCGTTGTAGCTTTGAAGAGCCCAGCTGCATTCCATGAGCAGATAAAGAGCTTGGAAAGAGCCAGGGTAAGGATTCAAGTTTAAACGTGTTGCTTCATTCTTCACATATATTTGCATTTGGAAAGGGTGAGATATGCAAGATATGTGAAACAAGATGAAACAAAACTAGATTATAATCTCTGGAACTAGATTTTGGGGTCATTTTTAATGAAATTTAAAGTCCTACAGTAACTAATACAAACAAGCCAAAAACAGGCAACAGTATGATTACTTATAATATCCTTCAGCCCTTTCCCCAGTCACCCTCATCTTCCACTGAATATAGATTTACAGTAGATAATCCCAGCCGAGATTCATTTTCTGCCCAAACAAACCACAATGATGTAAAGCCAAGGGTTGTTCTTGGCTTACGAATTGTGGTTTGTCTGGTAGAAGCAAACCCAGAGCACTGGTTTGCATGTCACTCTAAGCCAAGACTCATGATTTGTTACTCCTGGCCCAAGAAAATGAGCATTAGTACACTGTTCATTCACAGTAAGCCATGGTTTATGGTTTACCATGATAGGTGCCAGTGTGTTTCATTGTAATACAATATAGGACTCAATCATAGAACAGCTTAAACTCAGTACTGCTTAATGACATTCAGGGGGAAATGCTGACTTGTATTTCCTGTGGTAAGTGTGTTGCGTATTCACGTTTAATCTGCTCAATAGAAGTGGCCTTAAAAATGGGCAAACTGCAGTATTGGGAAGTCTTTATTGTATTTTAAAAATCAAACAGTTCAAAAATACCATAAAGTCTGGTGGTTGCAACTGCTGACTTGCTAGGAATCCTAAATTAGATTTATACCACATTTTGTTCACTAGCGTCACTATGTAGAGGAATAGGTTTGAAATACGTCATCTACAAAGAGTAAATTTGTATGAGTTGGATCTTGGATTGTAAAATGTGAAGGGGAGAAGTCTGCATTTTATCCCTTATTGTGTGAGTTGCCAAGAACCTGATGTTCTGTAGTATTCTCTAAATGATTTAATAATAAACATAAAACATAATCTTCCAATGTAAGGCAACGTCTTGCAAAACATTCTCAGATGGTTACTTTTTTTCTGTGACCAAAGAATTTTAATAATTTCCTTCAATGACAGCCGTTCAGGACTGCAATAAAGACATGTACTCTGAAAGCCATTTCCCAAAAATGTTTCCTTAAAGTGAACTGTTTTGGGTGAATTGCCAGTAAATGTGGTATATTTAACGTTCATGCATTTTTTCCTTCAGACTGAGAATTTTCTGAAGCACAAGATACGCAGTAGACCTGATAGATCAGAGTTGGTCAGAATGCACATTCTTGAAGGTGAGGACCCTGATGTCATATTTTCTGGCTGAACATTTTAAAACGCTCATTATGGCTTCAGAACTTGAATATATTCCAAACCTTTAGACAAAGCCAATGAATCTCCCTTGAAAAACTAATTATTAATATGTGTTGATAAAATCTAATTTACTGGATTTACATATTTAGCAATCTTTGATTTAAGGTAAAGTGGATATTAGGGACATTAACTGTGTTGTGGTGTTTCTAGACCTCTTAATAAAGAATATTTATCTGCTTGTTTCAAAAATATATACTTTGATTTCTGCTTCAAACACAAATGTAGCTGCAAAGATTGTACAGTGCCAGGAATGCATAGCTTGTGGTGAACTGTGCTAGCCATTTAAAATATTCGTCTTGTTCTATCTAATCTGAGGTCAGCAAATGCCCCTCTAGAAATGCATAAATAATGTGATCTAGATGTTGAAAATATGGTTGTAATATTAAAATCAAAACCAATGTTCATAAAAAGGAGTTGGAAATTGTATAGTTCTTTTTAAAATTTGTCCCCTTTCTTCCAGAGACCTTTGCGGAACCCTCTCTACAAGCAACTCAGATGAAACTGAAAAGAGCACGATTGGCAGATGATCTGAATGAAAAGATTGCTCAGAGGCCTGGTCCTATGGAACTTGTAGAAAAAAACATCCTTCCTGTAGACTCCAGTGTCAAAGAAGCGATTATAGGCAAGTAGGGAAGCTGTGACATCATCATCATCATCATCATCATTTATTATTTATACCCCACCCATCTGGCTGGGTTTCCCCAGCCACTCTGGGCAGCTCCCAACCGAATATTAAAAACACAATACAGCATTAAACATTAAAAACTTTCCTAAACAGGGCTGCCTTCAGATGTCTTTTAAAAGTAAGATAGTTGCTTTTTCCCTTGACATCTGATGGGAGGATGTTCCACAGGGCAGGCGCCACTACCGAGAAGGCCCTCTGGTTCCCTGTAACCTCACTTTTCACAGTGAGGGAACCGCCAGAAGGCCCTCGGCGCTGGACATGGGTCTATTGATGCAGAAAAGAATGAGAAGTGAAAACCTGAGCCTTAAAGGACCTTCCAAGTTATAAAGTTTTGAAAATATACATTTTAAAAGGCGCATTTGTGAAGTCATTTGTTGTAGAAGATCCAGATGGTTTCCCTCAAAATGCATTTTTAATCATAATTTCTTTATTTAAAATAATAATAATAATCAATTAAAAATAAAAATGTGTGCCCCACCCCCAAGACTATTCCATTCCAACTATCCAGCCTCCAAAAATTTTAACGCCTCTTACGATGGTTTGACCCTTTTCCATTTTAATAGTACAAATTCTACAAATACCTTCTTCAAAATCCTCACAATCATTTCTCCTGCATATTTGTGGCTTAGCGCATGTTAATTTATCATTAATAGCTATGGCTATCATAATTTATGTCGGTGAGTATAAATACCTGTGTTATGACTCACATATTTATTTATATGTTTGTTCTGCTGGTTCTGTGGTTGTCATCAACAGAAATGCAAAGCATATTTTTTTGCAAAGACAATTATTAATTGATAAAGATTTGTCTTTCAGTGTCGGCTGCTTCCTTTGTGGGGGATTTTTTGTTCCCTTTTCTTTCTCTGTGTCCCTTACAGTTGGAGGTGCTGTATATCTGACACTCATTGGATAGTACCTATGACGTCATTAGTGATGTCACTAGTGGCACAACTCCTTTCCATGATATCCAAGCCATTTTGTGTCCTTTAAAAATTTGAGAAGCATTTATTACACCACCTCATTTTTTAAAAATACTAAATACTCTGCACTCCTCTCCAGATCTGAAACACATGTTTCCCTTATACTTTTCCCCCAAAAGCAAAACACATAGATGTAGTTATGTCCCACACCAATGCTACCATTTTGCCCCTTGTTCATTTTGTGAAACAGGATACTGACACCAGACCAGGGATTGTTCTATTTTAACACTAAAGGGGTAATAGCAGTATATTAAAGGAATCCTAAGAGCATATTTAAATGTCTGTTTTGTGGAACTGTGGACCTGCAGTCAGTGGACATTTGAGCCCCACATTCCACATACATATGTCATTCAGATTATGTCACACTCACACTTGCACTTGAAAGAAAATGAGCTTGCTTTTTCAAGGTACACATGACATTCTCCACTACCCTGATTTTTTAATCTTTCTTCAATATGATAATAAGTAAGCCAGTTACTGCCTTCAAGAGTACTGCTTTGTCCTCATCCTCAACTACAGGAGAGGTCCCCCCCCCTGCTTTTCCTAGAACACATTCATTTAATCAGGTTAGTCTTTCTTATTACCCTCTCAGTTTTGTTCCGCTTAATATTTAACTTACGGCATAAAGCATGTTTTGTTTTATGGAATAGTTGCACTGAATGTGCAGTGTAAATCAAATTTCTCAGTAGTAATTAGGAAAAAAATAGGAAAAAATGCAGCCAAACTAGACACGACAGGGCCATTGTTCCTGGCCTGCCCTGTTCTCTCCTATAAAGGAGGGGGTTGGAGGACATGGAAGAGGGGTGCCAAATGCCCCCATACCTTGCTTCTACACAGTTTGTTGCTCCGGGCACTTTTTTTTTACCTTCTTGACCTCAATACTGAGTCAGAAATGGAGAAGATTACCTGGAGAATACAGATTATCCTCATTAAAACATGGAACCAAGGAAAGTTTAGCACCTCTCTGCATGCGCTCTTATACTATTAAAATCTCCAACCTGTTTTATGTCGAACTGGAATAGACATATGATGAAAACAAGTGTCCAACGCTGCTTTGTTTAGTTTGGCCCAAACTCACACAAAGAAGACCTTCATACAAGAAGGTCTGTTACTTGTGAAATGTCCACAGGTCTTCACCGAATGAGTGCTGGATACATGTCAAAAATAACAAGTAAATTGTTTCTGCATTATCATGGCATTAAAAGGTGATTTCTCACCCACCCCCACCTCTTTCATTTTAGCGGTTGGTCAGGAGAACTATCCTCAAGGACTGGATGAATCCTTTGATGAAGACAGCAGTGATGCTTTATCTCCAGATCAGCCTGCTAGTCAGGAATCCCAAGGCTCGGCAGCATCCCCTGGTGAGCCCAAAACAAGAGAGGCACCATCTCCAGTCTTGCCAATCCCCACTACTAATCAGGTAAAGTGTCTTGATTCCATGCCATAACCTTAGTTATTGTCATATTTCCCTGTTAATCAAGCATTCTTAAGATATTCTTTCTCTATTTGATTAATGTCTGCTGTGTTTTACGAAAACCCTGAAGTTTTGGTGGGTAGAAAATGTTCATTACTTCAAGTAAGTCTGTCCATTTTTGTTAGATGCGTATTCTCCGCAGGTAGATATCAAACTCTGCTCTGAAAAGTGGTAGAAAGTCTTCCCTGTCGTTCTTCAATATGAGCTCCAACATGCATAATAGTCAGGGATTTCTGTGCCAAGAAAACCCCCGGAACCCGTATATTTTCCATACAACTTACATATAGTGGCTTCCTTTGCTTCCTTTCTTTTTCTTCCCAAGCTTAATGGCAATGAAGGGATTGCAGAGGGGAGGGAGTATTAACTCTCTCCTCTTCAGCCGTGACCACCCTCTTGAAATCTCCCCCTGTTGCAAATTGGCTTGGAAGAAGCCTTCTGTTGGCTTTAATAAAAGACTCCACACACCCACACCCCAGCTTGGTTATTGTATGTGGTGGTGGTAGGATCTTTTTGGAGAGTGCAGATGTGGAGCTCAAAAAGGTTGAACCTGTGATATCTTGATGTCTGTAGATGAAAGTGCTGGACCTTTTTGATTCATCTAGAATAAATACACAGCACTGTGGTTGGGAAATCTTTTAAATAAGTATCTGTTAACTATCTACACATCACATAGAATGGCCATAGCATATTTATTTTTAGATGCAGTGTCTTTAAAATGTGACGTGGAAGATAATTTTGACTGGAAATGAATTCTCTTCTCCTTTTTACAGTTGTACTTGGGCTGAAAAATCTCCCTTGTTATTATTATTACTCAGATTTGCTGGAAATCTCTGTCTGTGGTGTCATAGCTGTTTCTTCTCTCTTCATGGTCTAGATATTTAACATTTCTTCATATGTGCAATCAAATAGTTAGCCAAGAACATAAATTTCTTTTCGTTACCGTTAGTACAAAAATAAATTAGATTCTTTTCCTTTTAAAAACTAAAAGCAGGATGAAAAAGTGATTGCACAACACAAGGTGTTCCTTGCTATCGTGCTCTTCCCAACTAGTTTTGAAGTAACATTTAAGAACACTTTTATTCATTTAGGTCCATTGAGAAACACTTGTAATTTAAAGTATTTCAGTGCTGGAAATTGTAGGTTTTTCTTGCAGAGGTTTTCTCTTGTGGTTAACGATTTTTGTGTAAAATTGCTAAATCCAATCTTTACCATGCTCCCTTGAGACCAGACCAGATATTACACAATAGATTCATGTAACTATGTACAGTGGTGCCTCGCAAGACGAAATTAATTCGTTCCGCGAGTTTTGTCGCCTTGCGATTTTTTTCGTCTTGCGAAGCACGGTGTCGGGAAAGTTTTGGAAAAGCTTCAAAAATCACCAAAGTCTTTAAAAACCTCAAAAAAGGCTACCACACCGCGTTCTATGAGTTGCTCCTCGAAGTCAAGTCGCAACTGTATTAACGGTGTTAAGAAAAAGGAAACAAACTTGCAAGACGTTTCCGTCTTGCGAAGCAAGCCCATAGGGAAAATCGTCTTGCGCAGCAGCTCAAAAAACAAAAAACCCTTTCGTCTAGCGAGTTTTTTGTCTTGCGAGGCATTCGTCTTGCGAGGTACCACTGTATGACTGATTGGATTTTAATTACAAGTAATTTCAGATGGATGGCAGTTTAAATGGAAGAATTTTACAGAGAGGGGCTGCTTAGTTCTCTTCTACCCATTGGGGGGAAAATAGGGATATAGACAGCTTGGGGCAGGAGTTGACTTTGAGCAGCAAAATAGCTTATAGGGGGAGGCACTGGGAAACTCTTGCACACATCTCCCTTATAGTGTCCAGTTTATCTTTACATGAGATATGAAGAATTTCATATCCTCTATCATTTGTATATGATTTAAGCAGTGTAATTACTTTTAAATATTTGAGCAATGCAGCCTTGATCTAAATTTTTCCCTTACTGTTTTCTCCACATTTTACTCTCTCTCTCTCTCTCTCTCTCTCTCTCTCTCTCTCTCGCACACACACACAACGCACACACACGAAATGCCCAGTGCTGCCCAGGAATTTGAAGACATTAAAATATATTGTAATTTTTAAATGAATAGTGTAATTTGTGGGTTTGGGGGTTGTGTGCACACACACACACGCCAACTCAGGACTCCAACCTGACCTGGGGAAGAAGCTGAACTGGCACTGAATAATAATAATAAAATGTTGGGGAGCTAATATTTAATTATGGTTAGTTTGGCCCACCATCTTGATTCAAAATGGTGCCTGGCATCCAAACATAGATGAAGACTGGTGATGATATTTCCAGACATTTGTGCAGGTTAATGCCATCCTGCCAAATTGGGCAGCAAAACCTTCAAAGCTATCCAGATTGGCACAGGTTACTGTCACACCAAAATTTGTGAAGACCTGCCAAATGGTATGATGAAATTTTCAGAGGTGTCAAAAGTAGTGGACCCAACCTATGCCAAAAAAGAGCAAAATCATGCCAGAGTGATGCTTTGATGTGCTATCTTGATTCAGAATATTGTCTGGCATCCAAAGTTTTTTTTTTTAAACAAACTTGTCCTTCTCCCAGAGAAAAAACAAGCAAACATGGTTACAAAATAGAGAGGACAATGATTCCCATTTTAAGTAATCCACATCTTTATTATGTAACCAAAGGCCATCAGGACCAGGGCAAGAGCACAGCGGCTGCAGTCTTCACTCTGGGAACACATGTTTTCTCCTTTGCACTAAGTCATGGTTTGGCTTAGCAAATCACATCTGTATATCCTTGCCTCTCTAACAGGAATTTTGTTCAGAATGCCTGCCTGCCTGCCAGCCAGTGGTGTCCGCCTCTTCATGACCCCTGGACCAGAGCACGCCAGGCACTCCTGTTTTCCCTCCTCCAGCAGGCTATTCCATCCCCTTCCACCTCTCTTCTCCTTTTTCCATGTTTTCCCTTTTCCCAACTGATACTATGTCTGTGACTAATGAGCTTGCACAATCCTTACAAGGCTGGGTTTCTTTGGGTGTGTGTGTGTGTGGGGGGTCAACTCCATCATTATGATCATCATCAAAATCATCATTATTTGTAGTTCTGCAAATAATGTTCTAGGGGTTTTCCCAAGCATTCTGATTCCTCCCTTTTTTCAATGATTTCATTTTGACTCCACTTCTATTGACAGTCACTGCCTGAATGCACAAGGAGAAGAAATGACAAATTGTCATTAACAACGTTACAAATATTTGTTAAATGCACTTTTGTAGGCTTAGTTTTTTGTTTAATTTTGCCAAATTAAAATGTAATTCATGCAGCCAGTATGCTTGCTTGCAGCTGGTGAGTGCTGGGAACATTGTTTTCAGCAGTCCTAGTGCTTTGACCTAGAGAAAACTTGGCAGCAGTGGGATAGATTGGAGGAACCAGAGCCTGAGTGTGGAGGGAAACCCTGGCCACACTCAACAAAATGTTCTCAACCTTTAGCATGAATTTACTCTCTCTGACATGCTATTTCCAGTGACTTTTTCTGATGAATTTGGATACTTTCAGTAGCAAAAGGAAGACACAAACCTTTTAAGGGGGGGATGTTTAATTCTACAGGCCACTTAAAAAAATATTTTATTGATTTTTCAAAATTCTACTGGCGACTCTTGAGACATAAATGTATCTAGAGTAAGACTTTCCTTTGGTTGCTCTTTTTGAGAAATTTTGGAGAATTTTGTGGCTCTAGTTCTTTGGGGGAAATATGTGTGATGTAAATTCTTTTAGAAAAGCCAATGCCAATGTAGAAAAAATGTTTGGGCTGTAGTTACTCATTTTGTTTTGTTTTCTTTATTATCAGTATCCCACATTAACACCATCACTACCTGAATTTCTGAAGCCGCCTGTCACTGATCAGCACACTACACGCTCTGCAGCTGCTGCTTCTCTTACCCCAAATACCGTGTTGGCAACAAAACTCAGCAGTGGGCCAACACTAATAAAGGTATGAGAAAACAGTCATGCTTGATGTGTTTGCTTTATTTACTCTATTAACAAAGAAAAATCTCACAACAGGAGAGGTGAGAAATATTGCCAGTTTCCTGTACTAGTATTATGGATCTTGCAAGACAGACATTTGAAAAATGAAACAGCATAAGTAAAGATAACTTTGTATAAGTACAGGTGCCACTGAAGCCATCATAGAAGAGCACAAATCATTCTCAAGTTGTTATTTGGCTGATATGTTAATTTTAAGAACCACGTTTTTGCCAGAATCCAGTTCTATACATTAAAGTAGAAGGTATTTCTGAAGGAAAATAAGTGATGTAAAAATGTATGACATTTACAAAATTCACTGAACAGTTATTTGTAGTTGGACTTATGGTGGTGGTTTTTTTTTGCAAGTGTTGTGTTCCCGACACTGCATTTTCTGAGATGATGTGGGGGAAAGTAGGATGTTGGCAAGGGATGTTCAGCTTTCCTTGAAACACACACACACCTACGCACAAAGCCTTGCATTTCAGTGTCAATACAGATTTAGTTTTGCTATCTCCAAGGTTTATTATTATGCCAGCTGGGTTAGTGGCCTTCAGAGGATTGCAGGCAAGGACAACCCTCTGCCAGTTCCTATAAAATTGTTTTATAAGGCATTTCCCTCAGTCAAATAGACACAGTGGTGATGTCACCTGTAAGCTAACCCAGCTTTTCCTGCAGTGGTTAGATTTTAAAGATCAAGTATCACCTAAAGCTGCGTAATGCAACAGATCTCTGCCTTGTGAGGCAACTGTCCCTAAGAAGGGACAGGTAATTATTGGGGAGTAGGATAGTCGGATATGCCAATATTTGTGCCCTAACAAATACTAGCCAGTGCTGCCTCTGCATCACATTTCCACCAACACTTACTGCTCATCCCTAGCATTTAGGAAGCCACAGACTGGAACTATCTAAGTTTGCTAGGCTTTGGAGAGTTTGCTTAGCAAAATAGTTAACAGCATGGGTTTAAGCGAACTGAACCTGCAAAGGGTATCTGGAAGATGCTACCAATATACACTGGCAGTTATTGAGGACAAGTCAGAACTTTGCAGGGTTGTGAGCAGATGGAACTTGGTGCAGGGAATGTGTTGCATGTGTAATGGGAGTCCCCATTTTCTCCACTCCAAGTGCTAGTTCCAAAATGCAGCTGGCAGATACATAAGTTCAAATGTGTGTGGGAGCCTCTGTGGACATATGAAACATGTGGACATATGGTTTCAAATCTGGAAGACTTTGGGAGGGGACTTTTGGATATGGTTAGCATAAATAGGAGACTAGTGTTTTTGATTAGGCTCTTGCACAGTGAATCTGTGCTATAGTTGTTTTTTAATTCTTGATTGAAGCCAAGTCAGTTTGTTGCAGTGCTTGTGAGGAATTTCCTTAATAAAGTTCCTGTAACTGTAATACTGGACTGTGATCTGCCATTTTTGTTTATAAACATGGCCTGCAGCCCAACAAAAAAAAAGTTGACTATTACATTTGCTTTCTGTTCTCATTCATGATTATTTGTTCCAAAGCTACAAATTATTACAGACTAGTAGGACAGTCTGCACATTCAAATTGCTAATTGACACATTTGAAGCATCCTTCAGAGGCTCATGAAAACCAGCCAAGGTGATGCATCTCTATATAGCATAAGAACGTGTCTAATTCTCTTTTAAAGCCAGCCACATTCATGGCCATCACCATTAGAGAGAGGGAGACCTATTTTCTCCAAATCATGCATAATATGCATCTCTATCATAATGACCCCTTACTCACCTTTTCTTTCAACTAAGAAGTCCCAGATATTGTAACCTTTCCTTATAGGGAAGTTTCTCCACCCTCATTTTCATTGCCCTTTCTGAACTTTTTCTAGCTTTACTCTCTTACAGTAGATGCAGTATCTGTCATTGGTATCTAAATAGAAACAATGCAACAAGAGAATCACAGCAAATAATGCAAGAAGAGAAGCACAACATGCACAATGACTGTTATGAACCCCTAAATCCCTTTGCCTATCCTTCTGCCTATCTATTGTGCTAAGGATGGAGAATCTGTCAACCTCTGGATTCTGTTGAACTCCAACTCCCACCAGCCCTAGCTAACACAGCTAATAGCTGGAGATGATGGGAGTTACAGTTCTGCAACCTCCAAAGGGGGACAAGCTCCCCACCCCTGCTCTGTATAGTTCTCTGAATTAGACAACCTTTAATGTTCTGGTATATTCGATCCCACTGGAAAGCAGTGGGACTTGTATTCAGTGCTGAATTTAAACAGTGCCAACTGTAAATCCCATTGCAAAGGAACCTTTGGGAGTGCACGCTAAGCCGACTTGCATTCAGTGTTGTTTAAATTCAACACTGAATGGACAAGCCAGCATCCTAGTGCTCACTGCTAAAATCACTCCTGCTCCACTCCACTCCTCTTTTGTTTGGAGAGAAACAAATCACAAGCACTGGTTTTCATATAAACCTAAGCAAGCGCTCTTGGCTTCTTTGGATACAAAGAGCCATGAGCAAAAGGGAAATCACTATGTGTACTTTTGCAGAGTGACATCTTTGGATTTAGCTGCACTGTTCTTACATGGCATTCTATTGCAAGGTGTAAAATAGCCCTTCCCTGAGCAGAAGGGAACCTTTGGCTCCAACTCATTGTTTATGTTGTCTGTCTATGAATAGCAACCCCACCCCAAGAACCCAAGTGACAAACCTCGGAGCAAGAAAAGCAAAGAGCCAAAGCCCAGAGTGAAGAAACTAAAGTACCATCAGTACATCCCACCTGATCAGAAAGGTGAGAAGAATGAGCCACAGATGGACTCCAACTATGCTCGCTTGCTGCAAGAACAACAGCTTTTTTTGCAACTGCAGATCCTGAGCCAACAGCAGCAGCACTACAACTACCAGACGATTCTTCCTGCACCACTCAAGTATGTGAAGCTTTGTCAGTTTTCCCCCCTGTGTGGGAGAGGGGGTGGTCTTTAATATGGAGCCATATCAACTGCTATGCTTGCTTTGGTGTTCTGGGGCTTGCAGTCAGTTTTGGGGAGAGAGTAGGTTTCTGAACTACAGAATAATTCTGTTGGAAATAAGGGAATTGAGGAACACAGGACTTGTCTTGCTTCTATTTCTTCTGAAGGTTTTTGAAGCAAAGGAAACCTAGTTTGATAGGCAGGGGTTACCATCCTCTTAAAACACACACACACACACACACCAAACTTGTTTCGTTTGGTTAAAGAGAGAGAGAACATAAAGCCCAATCATATGATCTGCTATGCTAGGCAAAAATGGATGCACCAACAACCCCCAACCATAGAACATTGCGGCAATTCAGTCCAGGACAACAGTACTATTTAAAGCCTTGCCCATCAGATGTATATAGGATAGCAAAGGCAGGGTGGACGCATGATGGTATAAAGCAAAGTTCTGGTCACATAGGAACAGCTCCTTGACCTTCACCCCAAATGAGGTGCCAAATCCCGTTATCCAAACAGACTAAGGACTAAACTAGATGCAACATTAATTGTGTGCTTACAATAATGTGTGCTTTCTGCAATGTATGTAGCAGCCTTCAGACTATGGGGATGGGGGAGATTACTCTTTCTCTCTCTGCTACAGTGCAGATAAAATTGCCTGTCGAAAGCTGCTGTCTGTGTTATGGCCAAAAGGAGCTTCCACGGAAACGCATATTGAACCTGTGAAGAGGCAGTGGTGGTGTTGTTGTTGTTACCATGACAGGGGTAGAGGAGTTAAAATTCTTTTCCCCATCTCCCACAGCACTGAGGCTGTTCAGTCTTTCCCATTGTTATTGTGAGAAAAAACTATGTATGCTAATTGCATGGGCGCAATTAACATCAAATCTTGTTTAGTCCAGATGATGCTTCCGAAGTGTAGGCTGTGACTGTTAATCTGGAGCTAGCACTGTTGCAGGCAGCAGGCCTTTGCAGACACCCATAGAAATGGGGCTTCCAGCCCTTACCATCAGAGACAAAGGGCTGTCTGTCTCTTATGCACACAGCATTTCATATTAAACATGTATTGTATAAGTATGTATTAAATGCCACTGCAGGCATTCTCAAGGATAGCTATTTTAGTGTCAAAAGATAGGCTTTCTGCTTCTCTGAGATATTTACTGAAGTTATTATCCTGATAGAAACTGCTAGATTCCCCTTTTCTGGGAAGATCAAGGCCAATTTTCATGTACCACCCACTCCACGAAATGTGAATTGTCTGGATTCACATTTCAGCTGAGCCAATGAGGAAGCAGTACAAAGTGCTTTACAAATTCTTACTTTATTTCAATACAAATTCCCTCCAGCATTTTTAAACAAAGGCCCTGTTGTTATGCTAACAGAATAAAATATATTTTAAAGTAACAAATGGTTTGGTCATTTTGCATTTCTAGTAGTATACTCTGACTTGTGCAGCATATATAAAATACTTCATAGTTAAGTGGAAAATCCCTTCCCATTCAAGGCAATGCAGATTACAATGAGGTCATAGAGAAAATGGTTGAAAGCTTCAATTCCTTTTTTTCTTAAAGGCCAGTGAGTGACAAACAGAGCAACACCGGGAATGTACCACTGAATACTTTGAGCAATAGCACATCTTCCGCAGCAGCCAGCACTCTGAGACAGAACAATAATATTTCCAACAGAAAACCTGGGCCCCTGCCTCCTAGCTTGGATGATTTAAAGGTAAAAAAAAAAGTGTCATGCGACCATTTCAAAAGTGATTTTTGTTTGCTTCTTATGATAGCAGTGCTTTCATGGGACCCCAAATGTTCCCAAATCATACCCTTCTCCCTTTACTCACCTTGTTCATTGCTACTTGGCTCGGATTGCAGAGACCTGGGTTCAATTCACTGTTTTGCCATGAAGCTCACATGGTGACATTGGGCCAGTCCCCACCTCTCACCCTAACCTACCTCTCTGGGTGGTTGTGGAGATAAATTTGTAGGAGTGGGAGTAGGAAAGATAGCATCTAGCATCTATGGCTAATTTGGGCTCCTTGGAAGAAAAACAGGATAAAAATGTAGTAAATTATAATTCAGGTGCTTGCCTATTAATAATTCTTCCTGCATGCAAAGTTGACTGCACCTGACAACAGCTTATATGAAAAATAATAATAAAGGTTACTTTGTAAGGTGCCATCGGGCTTGCCCATTAAGTGCAATGTTGCTTTCAGTTCTGCACACATAGGGAAGGGAATGTACATGGAGGTAGGTGATCAAGCACCACAGTGAACATGAAAACTTTGTGCTTCCAGGAACTTCACTTGCACATTGTTGCTCCTTGTTTAATATTTTCCCACTCTTTGTCCAGGTCCTACTATTTCTTTACATTGTTCTTTTCATTGGTTTCCTCTCACTTCTCACCTTCGCTTCAACGTTTCGTGTCTCCCTGGTCTCTCTCCTCTATATCTATATTCTCTTCTATCTCTAAATGCTCCTTTCAGTTCATGCTCCACCTCAGAACACGTACTGTGCAGGTACTAGTCTTCTATTTCAACCTAAGATTAATCTCACTGTTCCTACCAGTGCCTTTTCCATTCCAACTCCATATCACTGGAAAGCCCTTCTACCTTATACATTTCTCTCTTGAGGAAGGGCTGTAGCTATGTATGCAAGAGGCCCTAGGCACAGTCTCTGGCATCTCCAGGTAGGGCTGGGACAGACTCCCTGCCTGAAATCCTGTAGAGGTGCTGCCAGTCAGTGTAGGTGATACTGAGCTAGATGGACCAATGGTCTCATTCATTATAAAGCAGCTTACTACTGTATGTTCTTCTTGATCTGTTTTTTCATTCAAGCACCTCTTAAGACACATGTGTTCAATTTGGCTTTTCCCAAGTCACCCTTTCCCCCTTTTACTTTTCTTTCTTCCCTAATTTATCTTGTCTTTAGTAATTTTAGGCACCCTATAAGTCATAATATCTCATGTGTGCAAAAAAAAAAAAAAAAAGGCAATCTGTGTCAGAGTTATCCTGATACTAGTTGGCTTCTTTTTCACAAATGCTTCTTTTTTCCTTTAAAAACAAAACAAAACTCAGGTAGCTGAACTGAAAATGGAGCTCAAGATAAGAGGATTGCCAGTGTCTGGAACTAAAATGGATCTTATTGAGCGTTTGAAACCCTATCAGGATCTTAACAATAATTCTATCAATGCTAGTCATACAGCGGCAGTTACTCCTTCCACTAATTGTACCAGCCAGCCTGGAGAAATAACTGCCGTATTCCCTGTTGCTACATTAAACAAGCCAATAGCTAGCTCAGTTTCCAGCTTTTCTTCAGAAACAACATCTGGTGGAACTGGCGGCAAATCAACACCTATGGAATGCATCAACTCCCCTTTGCCCATTTCCCCGTCTCCTTCAGAGCCATCCAGTCTCAGCACGGATGACACTAACATGGCAGATACTTTGACGGAAATCATGACCGTGATGTCTCCATCACAGTTCCCAAATGCCTCACCTCCTCTTCGAGCTACCGCAAATGAGGACAGTCACGGCAGTGGAAGCATGTTTGGCATGGAGCTTGATGCAGCAGAAAAGGACCGTAAGCTTCAAGAAAAAGAGAAGCAGATTGAAGAGCTCAAAAGAAAACTGGAGCAGGAGCAGAAACTCGTGGAAGTGCTGAAAATGCAACTTGAAGTTGAGAAGCGGGTTCAGCAGCAGCAACCCCAAGCCTCAGCTAATATTACACTGACTTTGAATCAGAAGCATATCGGTCATGATGTCAAAGAGGAAGGCACTTTAGCAGATTGCTCTGATGCAAAACAACCTGTATCTGAAGCCAACCATTCTTTAGGACAGCCAGCGTCAGTGGATGTCCAGAACCTAGTTGCCAAAAAGGCTATTGTTATCAAACAGGAGGTACCTTTGGCCAAAGCTGAACCACAAAATGTCATATCTCAGTTTTATGTAAGTTCGCAGAGACAGCCACAAACTGCTGTTGTTGCCCAGCCTCAAGCTCTACTTACTGCACAAGGAACAGCACAGCTGCTACTGCCACTCTCTCTCCAGGGTCCAAATTCTGCCACTTCAATGCAACTACCTGTGGGCAGTATCCAGGTACAGGTACGAAAGGTTCCTCCATTTTGAGTTATTTGTCATTGTCACTTACAATCTGATAGCCATGGGGAATTTCCTTCATGTGACTTCAGTGACTATTTTATCTATTGTGGTTTGTTATGGATGTTGAGGGTCATCAGGGGAACCCTGTTCACCTCACAGAGCTACAATTCCCAGATTGGTTTAACAGCCAGTTCCTTTCACCAGGGAACTCTGGGAAATGTAGTTCTCTGAAGGGAATAGGGGTCTCCTGACTACTCTCAGACCCAAGATTCTTTGGAGGAAGTCATGACTGTTTAAACCTGTACAATAGTGCTTTAAACGTATATTGCAGGTGGATCCTGCACTGGCCATAGGATCTAATGTAAATGGATTAAAAAGTCATACCAGTATTAGATTAGGGCTCTGGATTAGGCCTCTGGTACCAGTGCAAGGGGGATTTCATGTGAGTTGCTGCTTCAACACAGTGGCTGACAGAATTATATTATTAATCCATTCTGTTATTACTATAAGAATAGTTGTTCTTGTGAACAGCTTGCCATAAAACATAAGAGAAATTCTCGTGTGCCTAAATGAATGCAAGACATAAAATGTGCCACATATACAAATTCAGGGATTTTCAAAAGAGAAAGAAAGAAAAAGACACTTTCTTGCAATGTGTATAACTGGAAGTGGCACCAGCACACCTTTTCGGGATTTCTCAAGAAGTGCCTGGTGAACTGGCGCTAGAACAGGCAGTGATGTCAGTTAGAAAATTCATTTCAAAGAGACTTGGATTGACCAACTCACTCTCCTTCCCATATTTTTTCTAGAGCAGGGTTAATGATCACATGCACACCTTGGAATGCTCCTCTCAAGTGAGTGTGTAATTAAAAATGCATAATTTTGGCTTCACTCATTGTTTCCCTTATCTCTAAAATATGTCTCTAGTCATCTTAAGGAAGAAGGCATAGCTCAGTGGTAGAGCACATGCCCAGTTTGATGTGTGCCTTTCAAGTAATCTAAAAGGATCTCCAGTAAGTGGGATGAGAGATGCATTTGTAGAAGACCCCGGAGAGCTGCTACTTATCAGCACAGACAGTACCAGGGCAGATGGGCCAGTGGTTTGGCTCAGTTTTAGGTATATTTATACGTCTCTTGTGTCAGGTCAAGATGGAGGGATGCAACTGAAATAGATAATTGCATTACACACACACACACACACCCTGTACCACATATACAAGCAGCAAGCATCATTTGCTTCTTCCCTCTAAAAGCTGCAAAACCGCTTTACAGAGCCACACTGACCATGACTCTTTCTCATGTAGAACAGGACAGTAAGGTTTAACTTAACAAGAGTTGTTGTGGTTGTTGCATTTACCATGCAGCTCTTAATTTTTCTTTCAGCTTTCTGTTCCACAGCTTTCAAGGCCCACTGTGACATCACAGAAGCCAAGCCAATTGAAGCCACAGTGGTCATAACACCTGTCTGTCCATAAAGTAGCATTTACTGCTCATGGGCTGTGAACATGTGAACCCACCATCTTCCTTAGCACTGTGTTTAGATACTTCAGGAGGACTTGATGTCAAGCATTTAAAGATTCATTATAACATCCCTGGGTTTCTTTATTTATGCATATAGTCCAGCTGTGTCCTGTACTGTGAAATCAAGCCATACTCTTTCTCCTGTAGGCCCAGCCACAGTCTGGCATTCCAGCCATGGCACAAGTATCTACTTCTGCTTTGTCCCAGAAAGTACCACAGATGCACTCTTCAGCATCCAAAGAAAATGCTTCCCCACAGCATGTGCTTGGTCACACCCCACAAAACAGACAGGTTGGTGAATTATGAATGCAGATAGCCTGCATACTGTCCGTGGAACTATTTACTTTTCTGCTTCCTAACTAGAAGTATGTGATATTCCTTAAAGTAGGATATAGCATTGAATAGGATTCATAAATTACATTTCTCTGATTCTTAGGTTAGAATTTTTCCTCATATAAAAATATTAGCATAATTATCACCAAAATGCTTGAATGGAAGTCATTTTGCACTGGTGTATGTGATGTACACCATTCCATTATTCTAATTATCTTAAGTCATTTTTGCTACAGTATCCTCAGCAATATTTAATGATTTCAGGTGTTTGGTTTTTTTAAAATCAGTTGTGAAATGTACTACAACCTGTTATTTTGTCTTCTGAAAACTACTATACTAAATTAAATCACACAGCAAGGGGTAATTTTCTAAACTGCCTTAGCATTTTCATACATAAGGCATGCATACATTTCTGTCCCAGTTGGTGTGCATTTGTGGTTCATTAGAGAGACATTGGTAGCACTTCATTGAGTTTCTTCTGTTTAATAGGAAACGTGCAATACCACACCTCATTCATTTTACTGAAGTGCATGCAGGAGAAGCTACTAGGACATTGCTACTACAAAAAAAGCCTATGGCTGCAATCTTACATCCAACACAAATAGAGCAGGGTGTGAAATGCCCCCAGAGTACTCCTTGCTTGGTGTTCCACTACCCTGCTGAACTTATATCTCCACAGGACCATCCCTCCATGACAGGACTAGCCAACATGGGGCCCTTTAGAAGTTGTTGAACTACAGCTCCCATCTTTCCTTACAATTTGTCTTGCTGACTGGGGCTGATGGGAGTTGTAGACCAGGAACATCTGGCAGGCATAACCAAAGGTTGGCTACAACTGCCTTGTTAAGGAAGGCCTTTGTACTTTCTCCACTTCAGTGATATTGCGCACTAGAGCATTTTATTCAATTTAAGATTTCATGTTATTATTGTTGGCCACTCTAGGAGCTACTTGATTGTTATTGTACACCATGCTCTTGAAGAAAAATGGCATGCATGAGTTTTAAATACATACATTTTGTTTTTACAGATATTTCCTCCTACCTCACCAAATACAGTATTTTCCTATCAGAATCAGTCTGTGACAACTCTACAGCAACCTTTGTTTAGTCAGACAGCAAATACCACTGTTCACTCAGGGAACCAGATGCCCTTGGTGCAAAATGGACCCAGTGCTCCTCAGAAGGTATATTCATTTTATGTATTCCGTTACTAACTTATTTAAAGCATTTATTATCTTGCCATTAAGCCAAAAAGAAGTTCCTGAAACAGCTTACAAAGATCAGGAATGTCAGTCCCTGCCTTTAGGCTTACAATCTAAAAGATGCAAAACAAAAGGAAAAGAGATCGGGAGGGATTAGCGGGGAAGCAAACTCAGACACTGCTTCTTAGTTACAAAGGACGTAAAATAACCAGTCAGAATGAAAAAAGTTCAAGGACAGGAGGAGCTGGAGGTTTCTGGTCTCTCGATATAGCAGCTGCCTTTGACGCAGCTTGATGTAATAGCTTATACTTTGTTATACCTACCCTAGAATATCTATGCTCCAGGAGGTTGCTAGAGTAACATATTGGAGGCACTGTGACCATGGCATAAAAACAAGGAGGCACCCTCTCTTTTTGACCTGAGAATTTTTAAATCTCAAGACAACTTCCAAACAAGATGGTGCCACATTTAAATGATAGGGTTGTCTCCAAAGTTAATCCTACTCAGAAACAAGTGGGCACCACTAATGCTGGTGCATTCATTTCAGCGGGTGTACTCTATATGAGGCTTAGTCAGATTCAACCCTAAATGCCATAGGCTACACTTACTGCACAGCCATATAAAGGGAAGTTTTCTTTATGTGCACTTTTCATTTCCAGTAGATTAATGGAGATGACGTACAAGGTGCTAAATTAGCACATTATTGTTTTTAAAGGAGGGTAATGTGGATTTCTGTAGAGACACTGTTTGAGAACCTTCTGCTGCCACAATTATTTGCTGACTGTTTGCCATTGTTTCACACAGCTGGCCTCCCAGTCTCAACCCCAACAGTACATTTTGCAGCAATCTCTGTTCAGCAATTCAGTAACCAAGGCAAAAGACCCTCCACGCTATGAAGAAGCCATCAAACAGACCCGCAGCTTGCCTTCTCAACGAGAGGTAAGATGTATGCAGGAATGCAACAACATGACATGTTTCACCATTTTACGCAGAATAATCACATTCTGTACATCTTTCCATAAGGAGCAGCCATGGGGAGACTAAGGGAGACACATACCCCCCACACACTTTTAAAACTCCGTCACTATCAAAATTTTGCCTTCCTTTTGTCTTTCTTCCCCTCTTTAGTAGACTGAAAGTTTCAAAGCCCTCATCTTCTCTGATCATCATTCTTCATTGGCTGTTTGCTAAACAGCTTAATCCAGCCAAGATCACATCATTAGCATGAACCTAGGACTGAATAATATCTAAGTAAGGGGACAACTATTATGCTCTTCTGCACCATGGTAGCTGTAATGAGTGAAGAAGGCTTTCTCTGTATTCTGTACCATGTGTGTTGATTTATGCCTATTAGAGCATTCTTCCCATGCCTGCAGTTGTGTAGTACACCTTTCTCGGGAAACAGTGATTATCAATTCTTAGCAGAATAGCGGCTAATGATCCTACAGCACATTCTTATATATGTATCCTCCCAACTAAATTCAGCAGTGTTTATATTCCCAGGTAAGTGTGTAGCACTGCAACCTTAGTTGGATCAATCCTTTGGGAAAGTGTCCCAGATCTGCAAAATGTTGTCCTTTAGCTAGTAAAATTGTGTTAACTTAAATATGCATAAGCCTGTTCCTTCTTTGGGATCGAAAATGATATGAGATCTGTATTTGTTGAATTCTACTTTATTGATTTTTCTTTTCTTTTCCCTACACTGCAACTTGGTTGAATAATTAATAAAATACATTTAAGAAAGAGCAAATGGGATCACAAAAGCATCCTTATTTAGGTAGAAACATAGGGTGTGTGGCATCTAGACCAGCACAATCCCCATGGTGATCCCTACATGGTGCAGAGCATGCATAATCACATTTTAGGGAAAGGTGTGTGACATAATGAATACAGAACTCTCTGTGTTACAGATTTCCAGTGTTCACAGCCAGCAAATGGATGACCTCTTTGATATTCTCATTAAAAGCGGAGGTGAGTCAGATTGAAATGCATCATATGGTAGAGAGAGCTTCCTATTCCTATTTTTGATTTAACAAGAACAGCTGGCAAGGAGGGGTAGCACTGTGGGCTTGACGGCCCAGCACTGGCTTTGCTTCTACTTACAGGAATAGGGTAGGGCAACAGCGAGGTTTGGGGTGGGAATGCTGGATTGGCTCCACTTGTGCTGATGCCCTGCCTGCTCCTACACAGTCCTAGTAAGTGTAGTGACACTGGTACCAAGAGCAAGAGGCAGCTTCCCTTCCATTTTGCTGCTCTTGCTGTTTAGTATAGAGCAGGGAAGGTGGCCCAGTGGCCCTCCAGATGTTCAGCTGTCCCAGATAGCATGACCAGTGGTTAGGCAGGATGAGACGTAGTCTAACAACATGCTTTAGGACACATCATACTTATCTCTGCTCAAGAGGGATTTTGCTATGAGCATCCTTGAGAGTGACATTCATAAAAAGGGTATCTCTTATTGGATTTCATGTTTGAAATTCAGCATAAAAAGGCAGCTCATTCTCAAAGTAATCTCAAAGTAATGTATTTTTAATATTTTATTGGAAGCTGCACAGAGTGGCTGGGGAAACCCAGCCAGATGAGTGGGGTATAAATATTATTATTATTATTATTATTATTATTATTATTATTATTTATATACTTGACTGTGCAATAACATTTTTCTACATCAGGTTGATAGTGGCCTAATATTTAACCAGTTAGTTCAGAAAGTTATTGACAGTTCATTAACGATCAGTGGTTTACAGCATGAGCTCAGTTAATCAATTTGGAATCCACTGTGTTGAGTAGAGTTCTTCTCCCTTTAGTCATTGCAATAATCTGTGAAAGTCTTGTAAAGGGTCTTAATGAGGGCCTTCATTGAATCATTGAAATGAGAAGATAGCAGGCTCTCTAAAAAGGGGGTGGCTATTTGACTCCTTTGGGTAAGTAGGTATTGCAGCACATGTCTTCAATCATGTTGATAGTTGTACAAACATTAGCTTGCTAACTTAATTATCTCACAAGACTTAATTGTATAAATAATTTGCCGCTTTCAAATTAATTGTGTCAAAAGCATAAATTTATTGCTACAGTGGTGCACCAAAGTAAGTAAGGTTTTTTTCTTTCTTTATACGTAATAAATAAAATATCTTACTGATTTATCTCTCATTGCCTTTTATGCAGAGATTTCTCTGCCTACCAAGGAAGAACCTTCTCTGATTTCCAAAATGAGACCCGTTACTGCCAATATCACCACAATGCCAGTGAACACGGTGGTGTCTCGTCCGCCACCACAAGTCCAAATGGCCCCTCCTCTCTCCTTAGAACCAACAAGCAATTTCTCTGTAAGTCTGGAGAATCAACTAGAAGCCCTCTTGGAAGGAACTCTGCCTTCAGGAAATGGAATGCCTCATCTGGCAAGCAGTAGTGAGGACAGAGAGTCTTTCTCTCTAATTGAGGACCTTCAAAATGACCTCCTTAACCACTCTGGCATATTAGATCACTCGCAGTCACCTATGGAAACAACAGATTCTCAATTCACTGCTTCTAATTCCTGTTTATCTCTTGATCTTCCGGACACAAATTTAGACAACATGGAGTGGCTGGACATTACCATGCCAAATGCTTCTTCAGGATTAACTCCTCTCAGCTCAACTGCCCCAAGTATGTTTTCAACAGATTTTCTTGACCCACAAGATCTACAGTTGCACTGGGATTAACGAAAAAGGCACAGCCTACTTGACCACGGTTTTTAAAGATCCATTCACAGCATAGGTCCATTATTTCACTTTCCTTGTTTTCAGGGTAATCTTGAAAATTACCTTTAGGATGTAAAAACAAAACAAAAAAATGTTAGACAAAAAGCGTGATTCCCCCCACCCCGGCAATCAGTTAAGGGGAGGGGAGGGGCAGGGGGAGAGTGAGATTGGATCTTAATTCATGTAGCTGGGATAAGTCATAATAAAACTGCACCTGGCTGTTGCTATAGACAGCCTGAGACAGGCTTAAGCTGCCTTGTCAAAGCTCTGGCTAAGTTAAAGAAAACTGATGGGATTTGGTGAAAGGATTGAAGTTGGCTATATTTGGACCCCTTCATGAGTTTAAAAAGTCTTGAGCTAATACTTTAGGGCTACCACAGTTAGTCATTTTAATCGGCTAGACTGAAATGGTGACTTTGATTAGTTGGGCATCAAAACAAGTAATCTCCCCCCCCCATAGAAGTTCTTTTAAAAAAACTCTGCAAATAGGAAGCACCATTTTAGGAATTCCCCTTCCCCAATTATGTGACAAACGAAATGCCTCTTCTAAGGTGATGCCTGCTGCAACATGTTTGTGCATCATTAAAAACAAAGGAAATATATGCTTTGGTCTTGACAACTATTGGTTTTCTTATATGCAAATGTATGATTATTTACTAGGTTAATTAAGTAAGGCTGTAATCCTTCATGGGGAATCAATCCCACTGAATTCAGTGAGACTTACTTCTGAATAAACATGGTTTGGATTGCGTTGTAAGTAATCAAGTAAAACTCAAGATTAATCAGCTAAGATTTCTTTGGCCAGAGCCTTATTTAATTTTCACCCAGAAGAAATATAGGAAGTGCAGAGACACATACATTAGAAACACAGTGAGGTGTGTGTTTTGCCCTCTTATCATTATTTGCATAATTACAACCAACTTTACTTCTCTTATTTTATGTAGGATATCATACAGGCAGATTAAGATGCACAACAATTTTCTTTCATTTGTTAGGTGTTCATAAGCTATTTGGCAATTAAAATGCATGAATTTGGATCCAGGTGTGCCCTTGCATATGCAGAAGACATCTTCCATTTGTAAAAGGGGATATTTTACACTTTGTTCTAGAATGTTTCTAGAGAAAAATGAAACGAAATCCAAAGAAGTTGGATAAGAAGAGCTCTTGCAAGCTCTTTCTCAAGAACACTCTTACAAGCTGTTTCCCTTCCCCTCATAATTCTTTGAACCCAGCCCATGTGCTGACTTAATGTTAACACATTCAAAATTAACAAAAATCCATGTTTCCAGATCCAAATTCAGAACTATCATTGTCTTTTATATTAGGTCCAAAATTTAAATTACAAGAACACCGTGAGTGAGAAACGTACCAACGTGTGTGTTTGCCTCCTTCTAAAATATCTGAATTTTCCACTTTTAAAAGATTTTAAGTGAACACGTAACAGCGTGAATGACAGTCACACGGAGGAGTTACCCATCCCCTGCTGCCTGAGCCGTCTAACTGGAAATGCCAGGGGTTGAACCTGGGCCCTTCTGCATGCAAAGCATGTGCTCTGCCACTCATCTGCAGCTGATCATTTGTTTGGCAGGAAGAATGAGGGATGTTACAGTATAGCTAGCCATCTACTGTACCTGAACGTCTATGGATTAGGGCCCTAGAATAAAAAAACTGTATAGTTGGAAGATACCTCAAGGGTCATCTAGTCCAACCCCCTGCACTGAAAGAATCCCAACATGCGGTCCCCCATCCAATTTGAAACCCTACTGGACCCTGCTTAGCTGTGCAAAGCGGCTGGCAGTTTTTATTGCTGCACCACTTATATTCACAGTACATTTTCTAAGGCAACAGTGGAATAGCAGCATTTGGTAGAACTATTTGGATATTGAAATATATCATCAAAAAAGTTACAGTTCAAATGAAACTTATTCCAGAAAGCTCTGTCCTCTTTTAACCATGAATAAATATTGGAAAAACTACAACCATTCTACAAGGGTTGTGGATTTCAATGAAACTCAAATGAGAAAATAATCTTTATTGTATGGTAGGCTTTTTCAAAGCAAGGTTCCTTTTTCATAAAAATTGCAGCATAATACTTAGACTTCTTTAGAAAATTATCAGAATTATAATGTTCGTTACTCATAACATTTGATCCCGCATTTATGACCTTGTTTTGTTAAAAAACAAAAGTTGTGAATCCCTTAGAATTGACAGACACAAGAATCACTGATAACAAGTACAGTCGAGTGAACTCATATCTGCATAGCTTGGTTTATTCAATGTGCAGTATTTTGAGCCAACATCACATTGAGATTGCGTATTTGCAATTTATTTTCTCTTAAAGCCACGACTGTGAAGATGCCAATTTAGACAGTGTGGTTTAGAGTTAACATGGGCTTTCACATTGTAGAAAATATTAGTACTGTCAGGGTAGCTTCACACCAAAAATCAAAATTAAAATTAATCTGGGACCTATGTTTGGGAGAATATTCTTATGCCACTTTGCCTGCCATAGGTTACTCGAGGGTCATATTCAGCAATTGGATACAGTTGAAGCACTAGCCTTGTATGTCAACACTAGTGTGGTAAGCTATATACAAGAAGGAATTCCATGCAGACGAGTGAATGAGCAGATCTATGCAGAAGGGATAGAGCACTCCTTCCTCTGCAGCCAGCATAGGAATGAGAATAGGAAAAAGCGTAGAGAGAGATTACATATCTTCAACTTTACCATTCCGCTTCGCCATCTTTGGATGGAAGCTAATCTTTTGAGGTGCTGAGTTATCTCTCAGTGAGATGTCAAGTTTCATTTTCTCCCAAAAAGTCCATTTGAGTTAAGATGCTTAGAATTCTGATGGAACCTATTCTGGGTGTAGTGGGATCATCTATGACGTTTAAGCCCCACACTGCTGTAGGAAGTATGTTTCCTGTGATGTGCCGTATACAATGTCATAGACCAAAGGAGATAGTAAAAAGATGGAGCCTGTTGTCTGTACCTTGTATTCAAAATGTTGCAGAGCCGAATAGGTATAAATACAAAGTTTTTGGCAGGGCTAGAATTCAAAGAGAAGATGAGTACATGCAAGAACCAGGCAGGAAAGCCTGCTGTCAAATAGGCAAGCCACCATTCAGTTTAACAGGCAGCTTGCCTTTTCAGCAATGACAGCTGATGCAAAGGAAGCTCTGTCTGCATGTGTAGTTCCCATTTGTGTGCATCTCTTTGGATCCTGGCACTAGGACAAAGGGGCAAAGGCCATAACGACCTAGCGAGCAACTGGTTACTTGTGGTATTGATGCAACAGCTTATATCATCAGGTTCATATGCTATAGCTGTGCTTCACAAATTTTTTGAAGTGGGGACCTATCTGTAAACTTTTAGAGCTTTTGTGGACACCCACTTATAAACTTTTGTGCCCTGCTTTCTCTCTGATTTTTCCAATCGTAAATTCAGTTCTCCATGTTTCCACATTGGTTGTGAATTTTCCCTACACCCTTCAAAAAATTTTATCAACATTTTAATGTGACACCCCCCCCCCAAATGAACGTGTTTGTATGCAACTTTGCCTAATAAACTTTTTTTTTTTTTGCAATTCAGTGTTCCCTAATAATGCATTTTTGAATGTTATTTTCATGAACACATCCATTTTTAAGCAGCCTTTACCCTAGTGTATGCATTTTTGTACACATGGCAGGCGAACTGTATTGCAAAATTCAGAGAAGTGCAAATTTCTTCGGATGGCTTAGTTTTGGTTCATGTATTGTTTCAGAAAGTGTGAATTAGGTATATCCGGCCTTACATGCGAAGCAAATCAAATTTCTCTCCTTTCCCTACTTTTGACTCACAGTTTGAGAAGCACCTTGCTACAGCTAGTAAGCAACAGCTTATATCATCAGATTCATCTACTTCCTTCCTTGGTTTAGAATGTGCCACAGTTAAGCCAGTTTGTTTCTATGGTGCCTCAGATCTTTTCCTCATCATATTGCTACAGTCTGACTGGGCTACTCTTGGCCAATTGACAGACTGCCTGTAAATATAGCTGAAAATTGACAATATTGTGCGATGTTGCACTGCACAAATATTTCACGCTTAGTGTGCTACTGGAGCATGTGCAATGAGGAACAACCCCCCCCCAAAACCAAATCCTTTCAGGTATATGATAACCAGTGCAGAACTTTCTTCTACAAAATCATTAAGGGATCATGAAATGTTTGTAATAAAAGTATTTATTTTTTAGAGTAGGAATGCGTGATATTTTCTGTGCATTTCAGAATAGAGCTTTATTATAAAACATTTTTAAATAATGGTTTGCTTTTGATCATATGTTCTGAGATGTGCCGCCTATTGTACAATATTTACCACTTGTATGTGAACCTGGTATTTGTGAAAAGGGGTTATATATATATATATTGTATATATATAAAGTTGCTTGGGTATCTTTTGTGCACTTGACAATTTTTTGTAACACAATATCTTTAAAATATCTTTATCTTTAACAGATGACTTGGTCCTGTGACTGTCACTGCTAGCGTAGTCTATTTCAGTGCAGATTCGCAATGTTTATAGAAGTGCTAAAGGTGTCCTATTTGCTTCAGTTGCAGATACATTGCGTTCACATGTTTCTTTGTCCTGGTTTCTTTACTTTTGAGAGTGGCCCACTTATGGGAACTTGAGGATCTCCCTGCTTTGGCAGCTTTTGCCATCTGGAATGTATATTTTGGAGCCTCAATTGCTGCGGAAGCTGCTGTGGCAGAAATTCCATTTTCTCCTGTTGTGCGTAATACATTTTCATGAGTCAGTGCTGTGAGGTGGAAAAAGAATACATGTGGATCAGCCCAAGCCCCACTGACAGCAAAGAATGCCAGAGAATTCTGACAAAAACAGAAATGGAATCAGAAATTGCCACTGTTCTCTTACTCATCCCATGTCTGGAACGGAAATCCTTCCAGTGCATAAGACTGGTATTCCTTGTTGCTGTTTCAGTCCGCAAAGGACATATACTTGATTATGCCCCAGTCCCCATTTGCATTTCCTTTACATTGAAATAATCAGGGTAAAATGACATATAGGCAACTCCCAATTTACGCGGGGGTTACGTTCCCCAGGCACTGTGTGTTTAAGTGAAATGGTGTATATTTGAAACACCATTAATAAAGCCTGCACACACCCGGTTCTGTCCCCTTTTTGTGACTTTTGGGGTCACTTCTAGGTTCAATGCAATCACGCACATATCAGGTTGCTGCCTGTTGTGACAATATATAACTTACGTAGTTTACCTAATTATGTAAATTAAGTAAGTTATGTAATTTTGCCCCAGCAAGTGTTGTTCTGGGCAGAAGACGAACAGCAGTGGAATGGAGTGAATGGATGGATGGAATAGGAAATGATGCCTTCTTCCATCCCTGCTGTTCTTGATTAAACTGTACATAGGCTGTCAGTGTAATCCCAAGTTAACTACTATTCCACATCTTTCTGGATGAGCAAACACTTTAATGAGGGGAGGCTAATGCAAGGCAGTATTAAATGTCACATTTTGAAAATCAAAATGGAACTGCACTGTCATATTGATGAGAAATCATTGTTGCCAGTTCCATCCCTACTCGTTCCTTTCAAACAAGTACGCTGAACTAAGAAATTACAAAGATGTTGTAAACTACGATTTCAGCCTGTATATTCCAGTTGAGGGGGAATCAATTTTTTCAGCTCAGAGAGACTCAATGCTGCAACACATTTTGCAGTGTATTCTAAAGTGTAAAGTTAGAACTTTATAAAGGTATAAAGTTGCGACAAATCTCAGCAGATATCTTATTTAACTGCATCTTGATGTTCGAAAGGCATTCTGCTCTGGTGTTGCCAGCAGCGCAGTGCAGAATGTGTATGAACTAATGTGTAAATTTTGGCTAAACATCTGGCAAATACCATGATAATTACAAGGAGGGATTCAACAATGAAAGTGCAGTGATCTGTAATGGTGACATGTATGCTTTTCTAATGAAACCAGGAAACCAGCATTTTTACATTTTAAGTTTTGCACATGATGCAATTTAAAAAGACCCAGAGCCTTAAACAAGTGACAATGGGAAGAACCAAAGTATTGCTACTTCTACTGCCAAGGAGCACACCCTTTAATTATAAGTGGGGGGGGGGATTGCAAGTTCTCCATCATGCCCCCACCTCAAGTTTTCTCCATGGACATTTTTTGTTTTAAATTGAAGATGTATATATTTTTGAAGTTGCTTTTGTTTTGGTGTCTAGCAATACAGATTCCTTTAGTTGGTTGTGAAACTGAGCTAATAAGTGCAAATCCCCACGTAAGGAGTGGCACGTCTCTTTCTTTATCTCATTGTATTGCTTGCGGTAGAAATCGTGCTTGGCATGATAGGTGTCTCTCTTCTTTTCATAGAAACAATTACGTCTTAGCATCTCACTTTATGGAGAAAAAGAGAAAACGGATACCAATTTGTACATGCCTCTTCATTTTAAATACTAGATTAAAGGGAAAAATAAACATATTATGGCAAGCAGAGCATCCTGTGGTGTGTTGCCTTTGTAAAAGAAACCAAGATGCCTTTGTATTTGCTGTTTGCACCCCTAAAATCAATTCCATATGTTGATTTTTTTTGCCATGTTTTGCACATTGTACTGTATATACGTATTGCATACTGTATTTTTATATGTGTAGTACCTTCAAGCATAAATTTTGTACATAGTGGCAATATTGTAGCTAAGGAGAAGATGTTTATCTCAGCAATTTTGCAATTTGTGTGTCAAAATAAACAAGTTAATATATGTGGTTGTCATCTGTGGAACTTGCTTGGCAATACCCATCCCTTAAAATGTGGTGCCCCAATCCTACGCAGGTTCAGGCAGATGTCGAGTCCCACCGACAAGGCAGACATGTTGGCTGCTCAAGCCGTGCATGTTGGAAGGTGGCGGGATCCAAGTCCTACAAAAGAGCAAGCAAAGACGAGTAAGAGGATTGAGAAACTGCCCTATGAGGAAAGATGACCAGATGACCATGAGGCTTTTCAGTTTAGAGGTAACGCGAGTAAAAGGAGACATGATAAAGGTGTATAAAAGGATACATGGTGTGGACTAAGTGAATAAACTTTTCCCCCTCCCTCATAACATTTGAAGCTGAATGTTGGAAGAGACAAAATACTTCCTAATGCATAGTTAAACAATGGAATTTGCTCCCACAGGAGGCAGTAATGGCCAACTTGGATATCTTTAAAAGAGGATCAGACAAATTCATGGAGGATGAGGCTATCAATGACTACGAGCTGGGATAGAAATGTTCGACTTTCACGGTCAGATGCATGATACCTCTGAATGCCAGTTGCTGGGGCTCAAACAGGGAGGGCTCTTGTGCTCAGTCCTGCTTGTGGGTTCATCTGGTTGGCCTCTGTGAGAACAGGATGCTAGACTACATGGGCCACTGGCAGAAGACTTATTATAATGAAATGGAGAGAATGGGAATAGATGCAACTAGCATCACATGACTGGGAAAAAGGAGTCTGGAAAACTACTCCCCAGATATTCAGCTCCTGGCAGGATTTAACTTTCAGTCCAAGGCTCTCATGGGTTGCTTGTTTAAATTCATCAGATTCTGGTGGAATTTAGGGAGACAGAAGAAAATGGGAACAAACCTGGCCTTATGGGAGCAGCTGTCTAAAAATAAATAAGGGGTTTCCACTAATCCCAATTTCAAGTCAAAGCCTATGCTGTTACCTCACCTGTTGACATCACAGAGATGCTTACATGGTCCAGGCATTTCTCTTTGTCTCCAGTGCTCCTGAGCTAAAGGGAGCGTGGGTGTCCTTGAGACAGAGTAGTTGCTTTTCGCGATGGAGGTGACTAGGTATCAGTTCTCCAGGTCAGCCAACAGTTCTGAGGAAAGGTAAATAGAGAACCTTGGGGATGGAGTGAGGCAGGAAGGGGAGATGGAAAATCAAGGTGTCATTCAATATTGATTGGTGGCAGCTAAAAGATGTGTCTTGCTCAAACTTCAAAAGTTGAAGGTAATTAAAATATGGGGTTTGGATGTAATGGGAAAGATGATACATTCTGCCAAAAGATGCTCCTTATGGAAGGGAATGGACTGCCACACCCATCATCCATGAAACATTGGCCACTCTGGCTGAGGCTGATGGGAGTTATTTTTCAGCATCCCTAAAGGAGAGGGACCCAATGTTCCCTGTATTTACAGCTGCGAATCTCGTGAAGCGTGTTTTATTTGGGAATCTGATACATTCACCAACCAACTGCTTTTGTTTCAGGGTCCTTGCTCACTACAGCGAAGTGTCGTTATTGCTGGAAGGGCGGTCGGATTTTCCAGAAGAGCTGAAAGGCACCAAAAAGGGAATGTTGTACCTCACCCAGTACAAAGTAAGAGGGCTTGAGGAGTGAGGCAGGCTGGCCATTATCTAATAAGAGAGTTCATAGCACCTCCCTCGCCGTTGGTAGGTGAACCTCTGACATCGCCTTGAGCTTGGGAGTCCCAGACCACAGCGTGAGGCACCCACCTCAGGCTGCTGGTTTTAGGTGTCATTGAAGCACAGAACATTTTAATTATGGATGATTGAATGAATAGTTTATTGTTCTTTGGCCATGGAGGCCTATCACATAAACACCCTCACACTAATGCACACATCCCAAAGCACCTGTAAGCATCAAAATAAGTGAGCACACTATATATCCCTGCCCCTATTCTCCTTGCGGAAATGGAGAAGGGGCATTTTTTGAGCTGAGCCACCTTTAGTTCCTTGTAACACTCCTCACTGCTTTTTGAATGGCTTCTTGATTGCTTCCTTAGATGATCTTCCAGCACAAAGATAAGGGATCCACCATCATTCGTTTCCCACTGCAGCTCCTAGGAGATTGTGTCCTAGAGGAAGAGTCGGGCTCCAAGCCCCAGCATATCAAAGGAACCCTGAGTATGTACCTTGAGTCTATCAGCTGCTGTGTGTGATAGTTCTCAGAATCAGAGAGAACTCCCTCTGATGGGTTATTATAGGAATGGAGGAAGCTGCCATATACTGAATCACACCACTGATCTATTTAGCTCAGAATTCTTCAACATCATTCATTGCAGACCTTATTGTCTTTGCAAAGGTAGATTCATAGCTTTTTACCACTATGGGAGAAAAAATATATGTTGGCGCAGATTACAACACAGGCGGCGCTGTGGTCTAAACCACTGAGCCTCTTGGTCTTGCCGATCAGAAGGTTGGCAGTTCGAATCTCTGCAATGGGGTGAGCTCCCTTTGCAGTGTCCCAGCTCCTGCCCACCTAGCAGTTCAAAAGCACGCCAGTGCAAGTAGATAAATAGGTACTGCTGCAGCAGGAAGGTAAACGGCATATACATTTTCCCTGCTTTCCGTCACGGTGTTGCATTGCACCAGAAGTGGTTTAGTCATGCTGGCCACATGACCCAGAAAAGCTGCCAGTGGACAAACGCCGGCTCCCTCGGCCTGAAAGTGAGATGAGCGCCACAACCCCATAATCGCCTTTGACTGGACTTAACCATCCAAGGGTCCTTTACCGTTTACCTTTACAACATGAGCCCAATGTCTTACTGTAGCCTTTTCTCCCTAGCATCCACCCAAGGGGTCCTTGTCTTCAAATTTACCTTCCAGTACGGAGCATCTGATTGCCTAAACACAATAAAGGGTCTGATTGATGCAGGTGAGGAACTAGATTGAAAGACCCTTCCTTTGTTGGAGATCAAAGGCCCACTCCTTCCTCTCTGTCCCATTTAAAAGGCAGGGGCCACCAGCTGGAGAGAGCATTTGGCCAAAGGGCAGGACTGTTTTATGTCAGGATGTGCCTTTAATTGGGAACTGGGTCCATTGCAACAGAGGTGCGGAACCTTTTACAGCCTGAGCTTTCTTTCATTGGTTACTCCAGGTGCTACATTCCAGTGGTGGGTGGGGCAAGAGGGGGGAAGTGGGTGGAGCAATAGATGTGACTCTTAGCTTTGTAAAATAGTCCGCAATCCAGCCACGCAAATGTGAGAAATTATTATTTGTTATTTCTGCTTTGATTTTTTTAAAAAATTGATTTTATCCTTGCTTTTTAAATCATGGTTCTTTGTGTGTTTGTTTCTGTGTATTTTAGTCATGATTATATAGAATTGGACTTCTTGTACACTGCTTGGGGAATTGTTTAGCAATTTTCTAAATGAAACAAAGATGCATACAAAATGCATACAAGTGTTGCGTGTGTGCTTGTGAATCTATATATCTATATCTATATATCAGACATGCTTTTCTGTCTCCTGGCTTTTTGTTAATCTAACAGACATACTGAGAGAAGGGACGAACCTCCAAGAATACCCCACTGCTTCCATCTATACCTATGCCTACCCCTCTGCACCCCGGGCAGCTCGTAAGTGCACCAATGGTCTCCTTTGGATAGTGGGTGCAAGTTGGCCAACTAAGGAAGCTCAGACTCCCAGCCTCTTAATGCTCAGCTGAAAAGCAGATGGGCTCTCAACTGACTCTGTTATCAAAACCAGTGCTGTGCTAATGCTACTGTTGCTGTTTAACTAGGGCTGGCAATGGTAGTTTGTTCAGGGCCCTGAGAGTTGCTGGGAGACCCCTGCTCCCCTCACAGAGCGGCAGCTCTTTCCTCCTTTAATTCATAGACTTTATATATGCTTTGTGTTCCTGATCCCACTTTTCAATAGGTGCCTGTCCTTCTCTCCACAGGTTCTCTCAGCATGCTCCCCCTGTGGCCTCCCCCTTACCCTGGCCCACCCGACCTCCCCCCTCCCTATTCCGAAGTGGAAGGAACGTCTCCAAGAGGGAGCAGGGGCTCAGGTAAAATCAGCTGGCCCAGCGCTAGCTCCTGGCATCCATGGGCAGTTGCCGGGCAGGGCCCACCATTCAGGGCTGAATTAAGACCTTTAGAAGCCATAAGCACTTAAAAGATTTTGGTGCCCCCATATGTGTCTAATTCAAAATAGGAAGGAAGGAAGGAAGGAAGGAAGGAAGGAAGGAAGGAAGGAAGGAAGGAAGGAGAAAATTAAGCTTTTGCTTAATGGTTAATCCAGCCCTGCTACCAGTACGAGTGCTTATGCCAGGCCTTCCTTGTCAGGCTGCTGAATCTACAAGCCTCCATTTTAATTCCCTGCAAATGCTCCAATGTTGGCTGCTCCAGGGCATTGTGGGGAATTAAAATGGCAGCTCCCGGACATCCTTGAAGTACAGGGGCTGCCACACCACCAGTTCCTGGTAAGCCTAAGGAGCTCCACCAGGGGGCACTCTCAACCAAGAGCTGCCCTTGTAAAGCAGCATATCATAGGTCTGGGCTGGGGAGCCTGTGGTCCTCTAGAGGCCACTGGACTCCAGCTACCACCATCCCTGATTTCTGGCCATGCTAGCTAGGGCTGATGGAGTCCCAACATCACCCAGAAGGCCACAGGTTCTTCATCCCTGTCAACTGTGCTCTTGTCCTTCAACCTTGCCGCATCTTTGGTTCTGGAAATGTTCTTTGCCAGAACGTGAAATAGTTTATTAGAACTATGTAGAACAGGTCTTCTCTCCTTCAGTGACTTTCTCCCTCAGCTTCCAGCCCTGCTGCTTAACCTCCTAGACTAGATATAGGAGGTGCCCTTAAAGGTATACTCACATTTCTCCTTGCACCTGAAAATCATAGTTCTTCACTTGGCACAGTATAGCAGCAGAGTGACCAAGGACTCCTCTCTGGCAATTTGAACATTTACATAGTTTGGCCAACCACGTTGTGCAAACCAAGGCTGTGTACCATACATTTAAAACACCCCC